CCTTCGCTAGCTATTGAAGCACAAAACAACACATTGAGTCATACCTGTGTGGACTAAGACTAAGTTCTAGAACTGAAATAATGTGTCTGTGGTTATTTAAACTTAATTTGAAGATAACTGTGCTGCTCTGCATTACAAATTCAATTGTGTCCCATGTATACATAGGATTGAGAGTGGGGAAATTAACAGGATATCATTTAAACAGTACATTATATGTGTTTCAGAGATAGAGCAACAAATAAAAGAATTTAAGAATTATCGAAAGTGTAAATGTTATTGAGTGAATACTTATCACACTATGTAAAAGCTTGCATGATGTAAGTCTGAGCCTGCCACATTGTAACTGCGGAGTGGTACAGCTATAACTCTAATTTATATGATTAGCTTACATCAAGTTGCCTTTATATTTTAAATAATTATTTAGTCATTTGTTTACTTACAGCCTATAACCAAATACAGGTTTATATTGTTTCTAGAATTGTTCAATATAGAAAAAAAAACTATCATTATGTCACGTGGCAGGTATTGTAAGAAATCCCTTACAAAGGGGGGATCATCAGGCATGCTGGACCTGGCAACTAAACTGAAGTTTAGGCTATGTCATTTACGAGGGGCTAAAAATCCAATTTTATCGCACATGCTCACAATCAAGTAAGAAGGAAGGAGATTGGAAGGCATAACCTGTGTAGCAGTTTCAATACTTCCCTTTTAGTGCCTTTTTTACGATCTCAATGTGCCTTCCCAGAGCTCAGCTGCTCATTATATAGCTTCATAAAATTTTCAAACTAGAACAACCATGGATGGTGCCACAGATGGTAAAAAGAAGGATTATCATGTCACTCCGCTATCGATTCCTTATTGAATTACCTCTCTGCAGCACTTAGTATCACTATGTAATCTACTCAAACTGCTTTTAGAATATAAAATTTCCATCTTCTGAGGTCAGCTTAATGCAATCAAAGTCTTCCGTTTGTATGAGGAAATCTTCTGTGTATCTCTCTCTATCGACAGCGAGGAAGTTAAAAGTGTCCTATTTGTACAGTTTACAATGGTCAGATATGTGCAGGGAGGGTCCGGGGGCCTGTGGTATCTGTGTAAGATACTTAGTCGGAATTATAGAACCTCATCCATCACAATCTACGGAACGTTCATCATTGGCTTCTAGTTTATTTTTAACTCAATAAAAGGGAATGCTTGCCTATTTTTTAACAATCGACTTTGTTCCAAACTTCAATTGTTTAGTATAAAAAAGTTTATTTAAGGACTTTATAATAAAAAAATAAGATATATAAAATCATATATATTCTCTAGCAAAACAAATGTAATTATCTTCTTTCAGAATCAATATCAAAATAAAACGAGAGGTACTTTTTTATGGTTGATGAGTAAACTCGACTCTGTGGAGATACACCACCTGCTTCTTATGTCCATGTATGTAAGCTAACTAATACACCTGAAAGGATGCTATTTACACTTACACATGCTGTATCTCATGATATGCAAGAATACAATAACATACTGGAAAAAAGGAAACATTGATTAATAAAATATCTCCAAAGCAAATTGCAAAGCAGGCTTAATTCTCCACTAAAGTACAGAAGTAGGAAACTTAACAGTTGATACACATTATTATGATACACAATATGATTTAATGTCTGTACCTGGGTGAACACAGCTAGGGAATCATTTGTATCCAGTTAGGGTTTCTAGTAAATTCATGATATCATAATTTCTTTTAACATTTCAGTTAGTGCTATTGCCCCCTCACCCCCCTCCCCCCCGAAAAAGACAAAAAAAACTAAATAAAGGTTTGAAAATTTGAGTTTACAATTTCTGTTGCGTAAGATGATAATATTATCATAGTAACATCAGACAAGGGACTTATATCCATGCACATATACAGAAAAACTTCAGAAAATACATTGGAAAATTGTATTAAATCTGTGGGCCCAGAATGACAATTTTCTTTAGTAAATCCAGTCTAACTAGACCAGTTGAACGACAGACTCGTTTTACTTAAAAAAATCATTTTCTATTATAATTCAGCATTTAAAAAAACAAAACAATCTTTATTTTTGTATTGCAGGGATAAAAATACAGGATGGTTGAGATACATTAGCTCGAGTATGGTTGACAATAGAAATCAATAATATATGTCATAAATGCTACATGTAAAATTGAAGAAATCAGATTTGAGCAAGTGAAACAGTATGAGAAATAAAAAGTTAGGTAAGAAAATAATAGTAGATAAATCATTCCATAGTAAGTAAAGAACCCTGGGTCCTCGGAAACTCAGACCAGTCACAGGAATAAAAGTGACTACTGGATTTGCTGCACATCAACTCATGGAGAGGCAGTCTCCGGGCAGAGATCATCGAACCTCCACTACTGGCAGGACTCAGTCCCCATTTTCAGATGTAGGCCTGTTAGAAGATATCCAGTTAGCCTGGACCTTGTCAATCAACCACGATTCAGGACCAAGATTGACATGTATCTTGATGCTGTGGAGTGGCTTGTCGAGGATCAGCAGTCGAGTGGAAGCCAAATCAGGAAAGCCAGGTGTGGTGAGTAGAGAGGGACCAGTTTATGCTTCTGGTGGTGCTCCATAAACAGAAATAAAAACCAACTTATTAGGTCTCCAATGCTCTCTGATCTGAAGTTTCGGTGTTGAATGTTAGTGTTTGGGCCGGGTCTCATGATCCATGTGTGACTCAGATAGTATTACCCAGCTTGGCCCGTAGAGGGCGTCAACAGCTGCGAGAGAGACCACTTTCTCCATGGAGTGTGGAACAGGTTCAGTCACCATCTTATATGGTAAGCGAGTCATCCGACTCAAAAAGCTGATAACGTTGATAGTAGGGCTTCAGGGTGGACTGGGATGACCCCCAGCACCAACTGGAATGAAGAGTTTGGCTAATTTTAGACAGGCAGGATAGCAGGGCAGCAGCCGTCCATCCCACTCACCATTCGAATAGGACTCAGCTACCATGATGTCGAAGCTCCCTCTGAAGGGGTCGGGATTGGTGGGGAAAGTGTAGCTTCAATACCACCACCTCTGTGCACACAGGATCTGTTCTTCAAGGCTGCATTCAGATGGGTTAACCACTGAATTTCAGCTTAATTTCCAAGAATCTGCAGGAGTTGATCATCAATGCGACCCTTCACCATGGAGGTTTGGCCCTGCCCCAGTTTATCATTTTTACATTTTAAATATGCCTGGTTTTAAGGAATTGCAAAACAAATCATTGTCATCTACAGCATGTAGATTCATTTCACAGTGTTAGCATTGTAAAAATTCTATTTTGTATGTTGTAGATTATTGAAATATACTGCTTTGCTAATGTGCAATGGCTGAAGTCCATAGTTTAAAACATATGGATGTTTATTTGTCTTAAAACCTCACTTGAACACATCACTGAAACAAAGAAGAGAAAAAGTAAGCATGTCAGTATCTCTCCAAGCAGTGGCGTACACATGACCCATGGGGCCCCGATGCGAAAATTGATCCGTGGGCCTCCCCCCCGCGCTTACTTGGCGCGGGTCGGGGCCGCAACACATGGCAGCGGGCACCTGGTCGCAGGGGTTGCAGGGCTGCACCCCCGCGACCGCGGTATGCACACACACTTAAAGGACCACTACAGACACCCAGATTACATCAGCTCAATGAAGTGGTCTGGGTGCCAGGTCCCTCTAGTTTTAACCCTGCAGCTGAAAACATAGCAGTTTCAGAGAAACGGCTATGTTTCACTGAGGGTTAATCCAGCCTCTGGTGGCTGTCTCATTGACAGCTGCTAGAGGAGTTTCCGCGATTCTCACTGTGAAAATCACAGTGAGAAGACACTGAACGTCCATAGGAAAGCATTGAGTAATGCTTTCCTATGGGCGGTTTAAATGCGCGCGCGCACCTCTTGCCGCGCATGTGCATTCGGAGCTGAAAGGCGGAGGGATCCCCAGCGCCAAGGGAGTCCGACGCTGGAGAAAGGTAAATGCTGAAGACACACACACACTAGCTAACAGACACACACATTTACTGACATACATACACACTCACTTACAAAACATACACTTTCACTGACAAACACACACTCACTAACAGACATCAAACACACTCAGTAACAGACACACACAGTAACACACTCACTAGCAGACACACACCCAATAACAGACACACTCACTGACACACACACTAACACACAAACAAACACAAACAAACACAAACAAACAAACAAACAAACAAACACAAACACACATACAAACACACACACACACACAAACACACACACTAACACACACTAACACACACACACTAACACACACACACTAACACACACTAACACACACACACACACAAACACACACACACACACCACACACACAACACACACACACACACACCCACACACACACACACACACCAACACACAAAACACACCAACACACAAAACATTTTTAAACTCCCCCAGCCTCTTACCTTTGGAGTGCTGGGGGATTCCCTGGGGTCCAGTGGTGCTGTTTGGCTCCTTGGCGGTTGGCTGTTAGGAGGTAGGCGCCAGGGAGCTCGATTGTGGTAAGCTTCTTCAGCCTCGCTACACAAGAGATGCCGAGCCGGAGATCTTCCGCCCGCATCACTAAGGCGGCGCCATGAGGGAGCTTAAAGAGGAAGCTACCACAGGGGAGAGTGCTCCCCGTGACTGCCACCCAGATACAGAGCCAGACAGCCAGCCCGCCCGCCTCGGGCCGGTCAGCAGGCACCGGGGCCCTGAGGTGGCCGGCCCCGGGCCCCCAGGAGAAGAGGCTGGCCCAGGCATACCAGGTCGCAGGGCTGCCAACTCTGGTGGGTCGTGGGCCCAGTCAGCAGCCACGCACCCCCAAGTGACCCTGGTATGTACCACCGTTCCAAGCAAGGTATATCAACTGCTAGTGATTAAAACAAAGAAAGAGACCAACTGCTGTCTATAAATACTCAGGGAACAGCAACTTACACTGGGAGGAACACACAGCAGCTCACACTGGGAGGATCATTACAGTCACACTGAGGAACACAGCAGCTCACACTGGGGGAACATAGCAGCTCACACTGGAGGGAACACACCAGTTCACACTGGGGGGAACACAGTAGCTCACACTGAGGGAACACGGAAGCTCACACTGGGAGGAACACAGCAGCTCACACTGGGGGGAACACAGCAGCTCACACTGGGGGGAACACAGCAGCTCACACTGGAGGGAACACACCAGCTCACACTGGGGGGAACACAGCAGCTCACACTGGGGGGAACACAGCAGCTCACACTGGAGGGAACACAGCAGCTCACACTGGAGGGAACACAACAGCTCACAGTAGGGGGAACAAAGCAGCTCACACTAGGGGGAACACAGCAGCTCACACTGGGGGAAACATGGTAGCTCACATTAGGAGAGGAGATTAAATGAATATTACCAGTTCCCTAGTTCTTCTCCGCCTGCTCTCTTTCATTCCCATTTACTTGAGCCTTAGTCATTTTTAGTGACTGAGGATGACTTCACTCTGCCTGGCAGCATGTTTATTATACTTTGACATCAGCCAGTGTCACCATGTAAAGCCATGTATTCTAAGGCTGGGTAAGCAAGCTCTCCCTACTGAGAGTAAAGTAACTGGTAGAGCACAGGGAGAGACCGCTAGGGAACCTGACAGTCTTCTTTTAACCATCACCAAAACCACACAACATCTCCTAATCTAAGTAACTATGACAATCCTTTGCATATTTTTATACATTAAAACATGCTATACAACACTAAATACCAATATTTTTATGAGAGTTTACGTTTGGTTTATTTTTCAGTTGTCAGCGGTGTAAGACTCCTTAATTTATCAATTTTAACAACGTGTTCTCATGTAGGTGTAAATGTGTTTGCTCTTTGTAGGCCAGGACCCGGTGTTATTACAGAGGAAATACAAGCAGGACATGGTTTGAAGAATGTTCCCACTTTAACAAACATGAATAATTCGGTACTCTTTTTGATTAATCCACCCATTCATAAGAGTCTAAAATGTAAGCGTGCTTTGTAGAATAAAGCAAAAGAACATTGTTGTTAAATTGTATTTTTTGATCGTGGAATATAAATGAAGCATTATAGTCAAAACCTTCCATCACGAGGGGCAGATATTATTTGATAATATCTTACTAGACTAAGGGTTTGGACATTTTTAGAATCCAGGGCTACATTTTCATTTTCTTGCGGCTGGTCCTATCTATGTATTAACATTAAAAAAAAATTCACAGGATTAGATTTGGACTACTCGTAAAAAATACTAGTATTCTTTTATTTTGAGTGCACTGGTAGTGAACAAAGCAGAGGGTATAATACTATAGAACAAATGCTAATAGTGGACACGGTGTGCTAAAATGTGGTACAATGTTCTAGCAGTGAAAATAATGACAGTGTGTGATTATATAAACCATGCTCTGGTAGTGTACAAGCTGTGGGAAATGCTAAAAAAAATATTCATTGATGTAAATATATTGTGATACTGCATGTGCACTAATAGTGAACACATTATAGGATATAATACTAAACAATATTCACTAATAGTGAAGAGTCTTCCCTTTCTGATGATACAAAGAATTTTATTACAGTGAACTAAATGTGGAACTAAACTGTTTAAATTGTTCACTAGTGGTCACCAAGCTACACACTATAATGATACATAACATGGTTAACAATAGAAAAAGCTTCACAATGTGATATAGAGCATTGCACCTAATAGTGAACAACGAAAATTGTGTACTAATGATGTTTAATCTCTATCCTACCCCTGCCACTACTTCCCCCAACGCCACACCTTCCTCTGTTTTATGCTCACTCGAACCTGCAATGCTAGCAGAGATTTCTTCTCTGCTCTGGTCCATCAGCCCCACCACTTGTTCCCTCGATCCTATACTCTCACATCTCACTCGCACTTTGTCTGCTTCTCTTGCTATGCCCCTCACTAAAATATTCAATTTCTCCTCTGGCATATTTCCTTCACCCCTCAGTATACAACCATCACCCTGATTCTAGAAAAGCCAAACCTTGACACTAACTCCCCAACTAACTACCACCCTATCCCATTACTATCGTTTGCCTCCAAAATCCTTGAGAGAGTTGTGCATGCTAAACTGAGCAACTTCCTCAAATTCAACTCTGTGCCCGACCCACTTCATTCTGGATTCCACACTTGTCACTCTGTCGAAACGACCCTGACCAAAGTATCCTGCAACTTAATTGCTGCTAAATCCAGTGGTCACATGTCTCTCCTAATTCTCCTTGACCTTTCTGATACTTTTGACACTGTTGATCATCAACAACTTCTTCTAATCCTCAGTAATCTCGGTCTAAGAAACTCTGTACTTTCCTGGTTTTTCTTCTACCTCCCCCAATGCTTTTTCAGTGTTTCTTTTTCTGGATTTTCTTCTCCTCCACAACTCCTCTCTATTGATGAAGGTTCTATTCTTGATCCCCTACTGTTCTCGATCTATACTTTCTCCCTTGGTAAACTCATCAGCCTTGCTTTGCAATATCATTTCTATGCAAATGACACTCAAATCTATATGTCCTCTCCTGATCTCTCACTGTCCCTCCTGACTTGTGTCTCTGACACCCTCTCTGCTATTTCCAACTTGATGGCTGCTCATTTTCTTAAATTTAACCTAGTCAAAACAAAGCTTCTCGTCTTCCTCCCTCAAGTGTTGCTACTTCCAGATCTGTTTCCCTCCAAGTACTGGTACTATTTCGCTGCCTAGGTGTTCTCATTAAATTCAACCTCTCCTCCACCCTTCAAGCTCAGTCACTTGCCAAATGCTGCAAGTGTAGTGGGTTATGTCGTAGGCCATGCACTAATAATGAATATAGTGCAGTGTGTTATGATGCAGCTGTGCACTGATAGTGAATGCAGCTGTGCACTGATAGTGAATATAGTGTAGTGTATTATGATACAGACCATGCACTGATAGTGAATACAGTGCACTGTATTATGATGTATGCCATGCACTGATAGTAAATATAGTGTAGTGTTATGATGTAGGCCATGATAGTGAATATAGTGCAGTGTATTATGATGTAGGTCATGCACTGATAGTGAATATAGTGCAGTGTGTTATGATGCAGCCGTGCACTGATAGTGAATATAGTTCACTGTATGATGGTATAGGCCATGCACTGATAGTGAATATAGTGCACTGTATAACGGTATAGGCCATGCACTGATGGTGGATATAGTGCACTGTATAACGGTATAGGCCATGCACCGATAGTGAATATAGTGCACTGTATAATGGTATAGGCCATGCACAGATAGTGAATATAGTGCACTGTATAACGGAATAAGCCATGCACTGATAGTGAATATAGTGCACTGTATAACAGTATAGGCCATGCACTGATAGTGAATATAGTGCACTATATAACGGTATAGGCCATGCACTGATCGTAAATATAGTGCACTGTATAATGGTATAGGCCATGCACTGATAGTGAATATAGAGCACTGTATAACGGTATAGGCCATGCACTGATAGTGAATATAGTGCACTGTATAACGGTATAGGCCATGCACTGATTGTGAATATATAGCGCACTGTGTAATGGTATCGGCCATGCACTGATAGTGATTATAGTGCACTGTATAACGGTATAGGCCGTGCACTGATAGTGAATATAGTGCACTGTATAACGTTATAAGCTGTGCACTGATAGTGAATATAGTGCACTGTATGATGGTATAGGCCGTGCACTGATAGTGAATATAGTGCACTGTATAACGGTAAAGGCCGTGCACTGATAGTGAATATAGTGCACTGTATAACGGTATAGGCCGTGCACTGATAGTGAATATAGTGCACTGTATAACAGTATAGGCTGTGCACTGATAGTGAATATAGTGCACTATATAATGGTACAGGCCGTGCACTGATAGTGAATATCATGCACTGTATGACAGTATAGGCCGTGCACTGATAGTGAATATAGTGCACGGTATAACGGTATAGGCCATGCACTGATAGTGAAAGTATTACGTATTATTTGAATGCAGAATAAACATCACACCATATGATTTTATCACACATGTTCTATAAGTAAACGAGCTGCACTTTATAATGATATATATATATATATATATATATATATATATTCAACATTTAATGTCAATAAATATATAAATAGAGATTTATTATCTGTATTGCGCCTCTTTTTTTCTCTCTGTTGGCTACTTCTCCTCACTTGATCTGTGAACCAAATACAGAGAAACACACCTCTCACGGTACTGCAAAAAATATACTTAATATTAATATCATGCATATATTCTGCAGTAGACTGAATAGCCTTTTTACATGTCCATTTGGTTCATCTCAAACGTTTTTCTACAATCGTTTGCATGGTCAAAATTTGTGCCAAACGAAATGCCCTAAGGATGATCTCAAATCACCCAAACAAAAAAAAATTCTAACAAATCTGTTCAGCAGAAGAAAATGTTTTCACTGTGCACAAGTGTATTATAGAATATTATTCCGTGCATTGGTAAATGTCAGTGGGTAGAGGGCGGGTACCAATTTCATGAACTAAAAAGTCACCGTAACATATTAAAGCCTGTTTATATTCTGCCGATGATACAAATGGGACCTGTTTGTGTCCATTGTTGTCTGTGTAACATTATGCACAGGACTGCATAAGCTTTTCAAGGACCTATTATCAAGCTGAAAAAGGCCTACACCTAACCCATTCCATTAAATCTGCTACTTTCTGCTATAATTGCAGTGCATTGTATATCGATAATGTCTCTGCCAAAGGTCTAGAACTGAATATTATTCTGTTCCCCAAAGTCTGATTTTGATTGACACATTCCAAATCCCTCACCTCCTCAGTCTCTGCATCCCTTCATCAAATGTTAATTTTGTCTTTTCAGTTCATATGTTACTCTAATTCCACACTCCTAGGGGACACTACACTTTATAATAACCATCTGTTTATTTCCAATTGACCACAATGCTGCGTTGTGTGGATACTGCTTAAAGATTCCCTCCCCACTAGTTATCTAAACAACAACCTCTATATAACGACAATAAACATACAGACTCTGCTTGGTGTAAAAACTCAGAAACTGATTATCTGCTGCGAGTCTGCAACGAGACAAATCTTGCATTTTCTTCTAGTTTAAAGCATTTAAATTTTTAATTCTTCTTCTAAAATTAATCTTCGTCACCTTTGCTGAGAGACGGATGTGCATCTTAAAGAGGAAAGGTCACACTGTTAAATCCTGCACTTTGCAGATCATTATACTTATCTATAGGGAAAGTTTGCCATAAACTGTGGGTTTTATTCACTAAACTTTGATTTTTAGAGAACTGACAACAGTACAGCAAATAGTTGCCAAAACATTTCAATTAAAA